GCAAACAAAAATGATGAGTAAATAACTCTTATTCAATTTAGGAAATAAGTTTTTCTTTTTTAAGGTTAGGATATGCAAAGAAATTAGGGTTTTTAGAATTTATGAAAAGAAAGAATTTTTAAGATTTAGAAAAATTAAATTTTTATAATTTGTAAAATTGTTAGGGTTAAAAAAAAATAGTTTGTTTGAGAACTTGCAAAAAATTGAATGATTTTGGGTTAGAAAAATAAATATAATATTATTTTTAGGGTTTGCAAAAAAAAAAAGAGTAATTTAGGGTTAGAAAAAAAATAGTTTATTTATAGGGTTTGCAAAGAAGGTAATACTCGGAGTTAAAAAAAATTAATTTTCATGGATTTGGATTTTATTTTTTAGGGTTTGACTGAGGGAGAAGTAATTTAGGGTTAGAAAAATTATTAGAATTTATAAAAAGAAAATTTATTGAATTTTTAAACAAAGAGGAAGAATCCTTAATAATATATAAAGGATAAGAAATGAATAAAGAAAGAGAATTTTTATTAAATAAATGGAGGATAGAAAATGAACAAAAAAAGGAAATTCTTATTAAATAAAGGGAGGATGGAAAATAAACAAAGAGAAAAAATCTTTATTAGATAAAGGGGGATGAGAAACAAACCAAAGAATAAAATGGAGAACACTTACTTGATGAGAGTTTTTCTTTTTTGCCTTATCTTTGGATCTCTCTTTCTATTTGTTCTCTGTAATCGATCTCAAGATATGTTTTAGGATTTTTGGCACTGTCAGATGGTTTTCTTTGATCCTCTCTTCTCCTTTTGCTCTTTGTTTCCAAAGCTCTCTCTAGAACTCTCTCTCAAAGAGGTCTCATGAAGATAAAATGTGTTTTCCTTCTAAAAAGTCCCCTCTCTAAAGACCTAAACTTCCTATTTATAGGCATTTTTTTAAAACCCTAAATCCTATTTATTTATTTATTTATCTTTAATAAAAGCTCCCTTATTTTCTGATGACCAGTAAAAAATCTACAAACTACTTTGACCATTTCTAAATCTAATTTTAAATTTAAAAATTGAAAATTTGAATTTAAATTTTAAATTAGTTTTTTTTATCTTCTTAACCTTTTAAAAAATAGAATTATATTTAATTTTTATTTTAAAATTTATTTTTGAAGGGGACTCGGATAAAATTGGGTATTCACATCAATAAACTACAACTAGAATGATTTAGCATGATTTAACTTCTATTTTTCTCCTTCTTAAATTATAAGTATCAATGACTTTAACTTTTAACTTTATAAAAAAATTATTTTAGTTTTTCATTTTTAAAAATTATTCATTTTAACCTTTTTTTCTGCTTTATTTTCATTCTCTAAATATTAACTCGTAAAATCAAAGATTAAAATAAATTTTTATAAAATCTGAGACTTAAATACCGGTGCTTTTAATTTAAATGACTAAAACGTACATTTATTTTTTGATAATTACATCTTAACATACATGAGTCTTGGATAGTGCCAACAAAAACATTAATTGTTACTGTTTTTTATTCATGAATTCTCGACCAGAGATTGGCTATAATAGATAATTTTTCAATAACTCAGATTATCATAATCCATTTTTTTAAAGAACCAACTATCGGTTTAGTCCAATAAATTGTTTCCAATTCATGAAATGTATTAACTTAGATTCAATTGGGTATGGACAGTAATTCTCAACCAAAAGCTCTTAGTCACTAAAGCAATTACGTCATCCCTTACAATTCTTCAAATGCCATTCTTCATGTTAAATTAATCTACGATTGGTCCCCTAGTAACCAAGACTATTATTGATTACAAATTTCGTTTCTCCAATTCATTAAATGCATAACAATCAAAATTTAACCAAGACGCAAACATGCATTCATAAGTTACTTGTACTTTACGCAATTCAGGTTTGTGGCTAAAGATGTGAATAAATTCAATTTCCTCAATTCCATTGCACTTATTACAATTCACATCCAACACTTTGAGAATTCCAATTGTTTTCCTTCAAATAACGACAAGAAGACATTCATCCATGGTCTACATATGTATAGAGACAATTAATGCAAAACTATTTGGAGATTGAGTGTCAATCTGCAAGACAGCAATTGATCAATTATCTCTGAATTACTAATCCAGTTCATACACTTTCTCTGATCTTTTTCCCACCTTTGCCAATCCAAGAAAGAACCTAACAGATTTCTTGCACGTTCCATTTTCTTTTCTATACACTCAAAACCCATTTTAAGTTATTTGCAGTCTCCACTATATTTCTTTTCCTTCCACCATATTGTTTTAACAATGGGAGTTTTGATGTATTTTACATTTTAGACCTTGTTAAATTTACTTTTCAGAGCTGGATATATAAAATTAACGTGGTTTGAACTTTTTTCTTAATGATGCGTTAATCCTGTTGCATATATATTATTACAATTGAAATTATTGAATTTATAATTGGACTTAAATGATTTTTAATCTTTAATGAACCATAAATAATGTATTTTAAAAAAATTTAAGATGTTTTTAACATTTCTCTTAGTTTATCGCTCATAAGTATCGTTAGTATTGACTTGATGTGTGAGAATTGAAATGCCTCCTGCATTCTCTTTAAGTACTTTTTTTACTAATAAAATATATATAAACTTCTTGTTAACAAGAAAAAACGAGCTAAACACAGTTCGTGGAAAGTTCTAAAATTGAAGGGCAACTTTTTTTATGAAGGAAAAGCCGATAAGAGAGAGAGAGAGAGAGAGAGAGAGAGAGAGAGAGAGTTTCTACATAATTTAATTGAAATAATTTCAAACTTTTTTTTGTCCCTGAAACAATTTCTACTTGTAGAGAAAAGAAAAGCTAATAAAATGTAATCCCAAACTACCCTAAACTATGTTTACTTGTTAGCCTATTACGACTAATCTTAATTTGAAAAAGTCACAGAATTAATCTGGATTAAATCGAAAAAAAAAATTAATGCTGCCTAATATACTTCGAAAATGGGAAAATACACAAGCCCTTCATCAAAAGAAGTTAAGAGAGCTATATCAATTTCAGTAAAGCCCAAACCCAAGCCCATTTTAATTGTCATCCTTCAAGTTTATGTGAAACTTTATAACTGTAAAGCATAAAACAAGTTTATAATAAGTGCCAAAAAAGAACTTATATTATGCTATAATAGGATTTTAGTGTGAGGTTTAAGTAATTTGGATTTTAAACCATGTATTTTAATAGAAAGCGTAAGAAATTATAATTATTGATTAAAATAATAAAATTATGGTTTAAAAGAAAAACAGTAATTGTAAAAGTCCTTATATAACAAAAATAATAAATTATGAAGTGGATTGATTGGAATTTGAGATTATGAGTGCGTTTGGCGTGACGTCAGTCAACGTATCTTTACTGGTCCCCTGTTCAAGAAACAAACAACCTCGTCTTATCATTCATTCACACCCATTTTCATTTTAGTGGACCCTTCCTTTTTATTATTACATTTTTTAAGGGCAATGCTATATTCATATATATTATATTTTATGTATTCAATGGGTTCTCTTTGGGTGAGGAAAAAATAATTAAATAAAATGAAATAATACAATGGATAATATAATAAAAGAGAGTGTGAGCGAGAGTAGATAAAAATAAAATGTAAGAGAAATTGGACAAAATTTATTATTATTATTATTATAGTTCTAATTTTTTTTAAAATTTATAATTGCATTCTTTAAAAGTTCATAAATAAATATTTTGAAGTAATTTTTATACTTAAAATGTATTTTTAAAATAAATGTATGTAATGATAATGATAATGTTTAATAATTAAATAAACGAACTATATAAAATTTAGGCAAATGTTTACATCAATGCTGATACCCAAACCTTAAATTTACATCATGAGTAGTTGATGTCAATCTCATTACCACTTCGACTGCTTTTGATGAACACACAACAAAGAATAATTATGCATTCACACTTATTTTTTGGGTGTAATTAATATGGATAGAGGTAATAGAAAAATAAAAATAAAAAGATATGATATCTTCATATGTATTGAAGGAGTGTGGTGGTTTGCGTGTAAGAAAGAAAAATAAAATAAAATAAAAATTTAATAAGAGACACACGGAGAGAGCGAATAAAAACAGAATCTAGAAAAATTAGATGTAAAAGTATTATTATTAATTATAATTTTTTGCAAAAAATTATAATTTTTTTTTTAAGTTCGTGATAGTATTTTAATCAATTTTGTTTTAATCCATATTTCATTAATACTTTTATATGAATGGAAATGTTTTATCTATTTTTTATAGTTAAAATATATTTTTAAAATGTGTGTATATAGAAAATAATAATAATAAAATATTATTTTTTAATAAATAAAATAATGAACTATATAAAATTTAGGCTAATGTTTACATCAATGCTGATACTCAAACCTTTACATCATGAATAGTTGACGTCAACCTTGATTACCTCTTCAACGACTCCTTTTAAATAAACACACTTAATATAACTACGGATTCCAACTTTGTTTGCTAGGATCCACACTCATTTTTTAGGGTAATTAATACAGATAGAGAGAATGGAGAAATAAAATATATAATTAATGACGTAAAGAGAGAAATAAAAAAAAGAATTAAATAGCAAATATATACGTTATATAATACTGGATCTTATTTGTGACCTTTAAGAACCAAAAAGAGGAAGGGATGAACTTTCGCATTTGTTATATTTTGTTTTCTAGTTCATATGATATTATATTATTTTGTGGGGGTTAATTTTATTCGTCTTGTATCATTTTTCTTTAATATTTTATATATTATTTTAATTTTTAACACTTGATGACATGTATCACATTTATTTATTTATTTATTTGCCTTATCTTATGTATATGATTTTCTTTCCAGCTCCTTGTTTTTCTGTGGCTGAGGGGGCGCGTAACTCTAGTTTGTATGTGTATCGATGAAGGATGAATTAAGAGTATGAATAATGCTAACAGAGTGTTGTGTTAGCAATACACTTGATTGATGTATGCTATAGATAGAGTGTTGTATTGACTATTCTCAAAGACTATATATAACAGTGAATGCACAAAGTTTGATGAGAATTATCACACCTTATCTATCTTCGTCTTCAAGATGGAACTCCAACTCTTCTCACCCCAAACCTTCATTCTTCTCTCCCTTCTCTTTCTCTATCTCTATCTCTATCTTCAATTATTCCACAATACACAACAAAACAAAAACAAAGGCTTCAAAAACTACCCTCTACTTGGAGTCTTACCGGAATTCCTCAAAAACCGCCACCGCTTCCTCCAATGGGCCACGCAAGTGCTCCGCGAATGCCCCACCAACACAGCCGTATTCTCTCGCCCGATAAATCTCCGAGGCATCATAACAGCAAACCCTCGCAACGTGGAACACATGCTCAAGACCAATTTCCACAACTACCCTAAGGGAGAACGCTTCATCTACCTCCTACAAGACTTCCTCGGCAACGGAATCTTCAACTCCGACGGCAACCTCTGGAGAGTTCAGCGAAAAACCGCCAGCTACGAATTCAACACCAACTCTCTCCGAGCCTTCATCATCCACAACGTCACCGTCGAAACCCAAACCAGACTTCTTCCGATTCTCTCCTCAGCCGCCCAATCAAACAGAGTCCTCGACTTGCAGGACCTGTTGGAACGCTTCGCGTTCGATAACGTGTGCAAGTTAGCGTTCAACGTCGACCCCGGCTGTCTCGGCGGCGACGCCACCGCCGGGGCGGAGTTCATGCTCGCGTTCGAGGACGCCGCCATGCTGAGTTCCGGAAGGTTCTTGAGTGCGTTTCCACTGTTATGGAAAATCAAAAGGCTTTTAAACGTCGGAAGTGAACGGAGGTTGAGAGAATCGATATCCACCGTTCATAAGTTCGCTGATGACATCATACGGTCCAGATTGGAATCCAGGGGCCCCACTTGCAACGAGGATTTACTCTCGCGTTTCATTGAAACAGGGGATAACTCGCCCGAGTTTCTCCGCGATATCGTCATAAGTTTCATTCTCGCAGGACGCGATACGACGTCGTCTGCGCTTAGCTGGTTCTTCTGGATTCTGTCTTCTAGACCGGATGTGAAGAAAAAAATCCGCCGTGAAATTGGAACGGTGAGGGCCGTGACGCGCGTTGGCGCGTTCGGGTATGAGGAGTTGAAGGAGATGCATTATTTACACGCGGCGATTTCGGAGACGATGAGGTTGTACCCGCCGGTGCCTGTTGACACGAAGGCGTGTCTGAAAGACGACGTTTTGCCGGATGGAACGAGGATTGGGAAGGGTTGGTTCATATCGTACCTCACCTATGCGATGGGGAGGATGGAGAGCGTGTGGGGTAAAGACTGTGAGGAATTTAAGCCCGAAAGGTGGCTGGAGAATGGCGCGTACCGACCCGAGAGTGCGTTTCGGTTTCCGGTGTTTCATGCTGGTCCCCGAATGTGTTTGGGCAAAGAAATGGCCTATATTCAGATGAAGTCCATCGCTGCTTCCGTTTTGGACAAGTTTGAGATTGAAACTTTGGATCAGGACACGTGTCCTGAGCCTCTCTTGTCTTTGACGTTGAGGATTAAAGGAGGGTTGCCGGTGAGAATAAGGGTGATCCACGGATGCTAGTGTTTAGTGTCCGTACTTAAGTGAGCTACCACCTTCATTTCCATTCTCTCCTTTCCATCCACCATTGCATGCTTCATGGGACTTTCATTACCGTTCTGCAAATACTTTTCATATAATATCACCTATTTTAAGGAAATAATTTTATAATTAAAAAATGTTTAAATGTAACACGTTAACAGGTTATGATTAAATAAATGTTCATGTATCATGTATTTTTCTTTCTCTAAAATATCACATGGTTGCAAATATATATAAGGTGGATGGATATAAAATGCTTTCGCGGAGTAAACTCACATTCAGTATATCTCACATCAGGTAGATTAGCTATTCATTGAAGATTACAAGTATTAGTCGTATTAGATTTTACGCACTGAACATGCACGTTGGTTTCTAAAGAGTGGTGTGACTAACATTAATTTGTGATTATATAGAAACAATCAATTTAATTGTTATATTCTTATGGACCGATATATCTGTCACTAGTAAATTTTGCATGGATAATGAAATGCAGTATACTCTTCTGATTTAGCAATAGATGGTGTTCCAATGCAATATTTCAAGACCGCGTACTGAGTGTATGCTTTTCATTTTAGAATTGAGGTGCATCCATTTCAAAACCCAGTTGAAAGTATTAGTATACGAATCTTATTATTTCACATTATTATTTTTTATATTCATTTTATATCTCTAAGGAAGGACTTTTTTGTTGTTCACTTTTGCTCCTATATGTATTGAATGATTTGAAATTTTACAAAAGTAAAATGGTGAGAAAATGGCATGAAATAGAATACTTTTCTATAGCATTTAATTTCTTATAAGTAATTTTATTTATTAAGGCCAAGGGATTATCTCTTCATTTTGTTTAAAGGGAATGAACTGATAGAGAGCAGCAGCGCATGGTTTCCTACTTTGAAGATGTATGACTCTTGCCAAACTTCTTTTTTTTTTTTTTAATCTTTTAAGATTTTGTTTTTGATAAATTCAGTGGTACCCTAAAAAATTTTTAAGATATCTTACAAGAAATTTTTTTAACTAATAATACATAACACATGTTTAAGTGATAATTTTATTTAATAATAAATTATATAATATATATATATATATATATATATATTTTTTATAACTTACCACATATTTCTTTATTATTTGATATAATTTTTTAGGTATAGACTTGTAAAAAAATTTAGGATATCGCTACACAAACCTTTATTTTTTCACAATGAGTTTAGATGAATAGAATTTTGAGGGCTCACCACACTTACAGAGGTATTTATAGATTATTTACCAACAAAATTCTCATAGATAATAGAATTTGAACTCACATTCTTACAGGATACAAATCTATCTTCAGGTTGGTAGTTAATCCAAATTATCGAAATATTTGCTTGGTACAAAAAAAATATTACTGATATCTTAAAGTACAAAAACAATAACTGGTTTGGAATTTGTTAGATCGTTTGTCACATCTTGTATTTAGTCTATTGAACAAGTAAGAAACCGATAAATATTTGTATATGATGGTTCATGTAAAAAGTCGTCATGATATAACAAGTGAGAAATCATGCTGAAGATTGACCTTAGTCCCACTAAAGATACAAAAGTAAAAACTACTTAAATAAAAATAAAAAAAATAAATTACTTTAACCTTATACAAGAAAAAAGTTCACTTCAAGTAACATGTTTAGTTAACAGGCAGAACAAATTTATACAGAAGAGAAGATAAGGTGTTGGAAGATTACATCATACGAAATGCCATAATCACATGCTTCTCTTGTATATATAACAATGAATACGTATACGCTGACTGCAACTCCGGTTGTTTATTTGTTTAGCTCAATTTTGGCTCGGTTAAGTGTTTGTGATTATTTTTTCTTGAATGCTTTTTGCACGCTTAAGTGATTTTAAGTGAGTGATGCAAGTATAGAGTAAGTTTTGTAAAAAAAGAGACGGCTAAAGATAATTTTTTTTAATTTAAGCATATATTTTTCACTTAAATGAGATGAGTATTTGCTTAAGTGATACACATATAATTTAAACAAAAAATGGATAGATATCATATCATTCTTTATTTTTACATTCGCTTAAACATATTTAAATTAACTTAAACATATGTATTTTAGCTAAGTAAAAATTAGATAAATATCATATTATCTTAGACTATTAAAATAACTTAGGCGAATGATAAATACTTTAAACGAATTTAAAGTTATTTAAGCACTTTTAATTTGTTTTAAGTGAAAAATAAAAAGAGATTAATATTTATTAATTTTTGTGAAAAGATTTACGCGAAACATAGAACATTTAAGAAAATAATGCAAAAATAACAAGTTAAACATACAAAATAAATACATCAAAATTTTACAATATAAATTAACAACATTTATAACATTTGCTAAAAGATCAAATATTTTATTTTATAATATAATTTCATATTTTACCCGCAAGATTATGATCTGCGGGTAACATCCCACAGCGTGTTTAAACCTCAGATAACTCCCAAATCTTGAAGGTATGAGGGACGCACAATCATCGCTGGACCTAAATGCACCTTCTAAACGCCAATCCTCATACCATCACTTTCATCTGCAATACAAGCAAGTAGAATGCTGGGTGGTTTAACCCTAGACACTTAACTTTTTATATAATATGAAACTAATCAATTTCATCATTAGTTTAAAATCTTTTATTAAGTAGATTAATTTTCTAAAATCTCATACACAAATAAATTAAGAATTATTTTATCATATTATTTTACTTTAACATATAATATAATATTAAAATATAAATAAATATTTATTATTGAATAACATATCTATAAATATTTATATATGTAAAATTTATTATACATAATCATAAAGATAATATTACAATATTTAATTAATAAACTGATAAATATCATTATAAAAAATTACTAAATGATTTAAATATCTAAGTTTGATATTTAATGTTAATAAATCTTGTTTTATAAATAAATAGATACATACATACAACAACAACCAAATTTTATCTCACTAAATAAAACCAATTACATAGATCATGCAATGTATTAAACTCAGTCAACCACTTAATTTTTAAAAATATGATTAATAAAAAAATAATAATAATAATAATTTCATCTAAGTTTCAAATAGATAGATAAAATCTGCATGGTAGTGCAAAGTTGCTTTTAAATAGTAAAGCATTATACCAACAGCTGCAAATGTTTTGAACAGGTTTAAACAAGTGAGTTGCTACTGATATCTTGAAACAAAGGATGTCAAATTCAACATCCCATCCCCCAAAAGAAACTCCAAAAACAGAGTAAATAGGGAAAGGAAACGAAGTACATAAATAATATTTTCATTCACTACACTCATATCAACAAGCTTGTGCTTTTCCATCCATCAAATAAAAATCCCTAAATTTAGACATACACTTGAAGTTGCTCACCTAGCCTTTTCTAGATCTTTTCTGGAATAACCAGATATGTTCTTGACATCTACTTTTATGTATAAAATGGCAACAAGAAACACTAAGCCCCGTTGCTAACAGTGGCAGCATCGGTCTTTACCCTCCGGTAAAATAGAACATAGGCAGCAGCAGTGTTAACCTCATCTTCACTTATGGGTGATATGTGGCTGTCATCAAAATTGTACCACCTGTTCTCATCTAAAAGCTGCACATTTGGAAAAATATGAATTAGGCTGCAACATTTCTAAAAGGAAGAACATTCTTGGTTCTGAGCCTTGGCCAAAAAATGAAAGCAACTTCAAAGGATGTTAAAATTTCTCATCTTACCTTAATATGTGCAGTGTAATGACCGCTACCCATGCTACCATAATGGTTTGTAAGAGCATACAGTTCGTACAGTTGACGCCGAGAGTTGTTTTTGTTGGCTATGTAATTTGTTAAATCAAAATCATGAATGGGAAAGTTAACAAAAGTCTCTAGTTTATGCTTCATTGACCTGCTGTATGAGAACCTCTTCAAATGAATGACCAAAACCTCAGGGAGCCTCCACAAATCAAGCTTTTTGCTGGCTTGTCGCCTCTCCTCGCACTTAGGACAGTACCTATTTCAGATTTAGGCACATATAATATTAGCAATTGACACTCAAGTGCTACCAATTCCCCTCTTTTCTATATGTAAATGGAGCAGGGTTTTAAGATCTATTTCGCAGCAGTTACCCATTTTTGCTTGTCATGAGATTTTTAAATACATCATCTAAGAAGAAAAACATGTAAATGATTGAAATGCAAGGTAAAAGGTATGTAAATCTTTTATTCTAAGGTTGAAATTGGTATAAAGACACCATTTTACAATGTTAATATCAAATAGCTTGAAAGATTTAACATAGATTGCAAATAAAGAATGCATGCAGACAACTACAGTTTCATTCTCTTGTTAGATTCTTTTATTGTACAAAGTAGTAAACATTTTAGGAAATACATAAAAACATAGTTTAAACGAGTCACTAACAGATCAAGCTCACAATTATTAATGCATATTCCATTGGAATGTTTGCTAATCAAGATAAAGAAAGAAATGAAGAGAAAAAAATAGGATGAGTGAACTGCAGGATGAACTAACCACATATCTTCAGGCACCAGAGGTTCTTCACGCAGAAAAGCTTCCAAGCAGGTGTATAAGGAGAGAGGTTCAGTACGAGCCTTCTTGGTTACAGGCCCATATTTTAAAACTTCGGGCAAAGTCTCAAGTGAATGAGTATCATACTTCTCCAACAGCTTCTGAGACCAATCAATATACACTAGAATTGTTGGTGATGATGGTGATAATTTAACTGCTTTCTCCTCTCCCATTGAAAGATCAATGCAAGCATTGCTTTCATCTACCAAGAGAAGAGGTAATGTTGGCATTGGTGGTGTCTTGGAATCAGTAGAATCCTTATTTACTGAATTTGACACCATGTTGGTAGCACTTGCATCACCAGATATAAAATTGCATTGATCAGATGTTTCTTTTGGGATGCTGGTTTCAGAAGCAAAAGTTTGTTCCACATTGCTACCTTTCCTTAGCAGAGGAAAGAGCATACGATTAACTATTACTTGTATATCACCTCTTGTGACTGTTTCATCGCATGAGATCAATGAAACTATAGGGGTTCCATATGGTTTCCATCCTGATATGGTCTGCGAGTCACTACTCCTAATAGAAAATTACAATATATCAGAGAGGAGTTTAGCAAACAACACACAAAATTATGCTCAATGTGATGTTTTAAGGCCCAGAGGACATTTTATACCAAAACCAAGTGACTCAGCCATTTAAATTTTAATGGGTCCAGACCAAACAAAGATCAAATCGAACCCACACTTGAAAATATTGCACTATAGATCAACCATGACAGACTTTTCCCTGGATCCCCATTACAGTAAAAGAAAAGAATGTTATAACAAGGGAGAAGTGTAAACATCATTATGTGTAGTAATAAGACAAAGCAAATTCAATTCCTTGGCAAATATAAGTTATATAACTACTGGAAGACGGAAGTACATCATATAAATGTGAAAAATACATACTGCTCTCTCCGGCGATGTATCAACTGGAGATATTTTGTGTTCTTGTCTAGCTTTGGAACCTTGTAAACAGCAAGACGGTCATCATCTTTGATTGTAGACAACAATAGAAGAGGATCTTCAAAAAATCTATGGATCAAATGGTTTCTTATCTGTGAATAGCACAACAATGTAATGCACCCAATTAGAATAAACTATATGACGTGACTCCAACATATATTTAAATTTTGTTCTAGTATGGTATACACCTCCACAAGCAATAGCCTCTCATTATGTTTCAACGAGCAAGCGTTGCTAAGTGCCTGGATAAGATCCCTGCATCGTCCCTGCTTAGGCACAGTTACTGTACAAGAAGATGGAAGGGCAGTTCCATCACAAGTAAAAACTGTCACGGTCATTGTCCTGCTGGTGGTGGACTGGAGTGGCAGGGAAAGGTACATAAAAGGATCAAATGTGACCGAGACTTTATTGCAAACTGGACAAACCAAAGTTGACTTGTATTGCCCCTATGAAATGAAAAATTATCAAAAACATATATGAGCTGGTGAACTTGTTTAGAACAAATAAAATGTGAATAGATATGTAGACACTTAAGATACACCTACAACTACTAACGGATAATCAAGATACCAAAGTTTAAATTATGCACAACAGTAGGATCATTGAACATTTTCTTAATTGAAGTTTCTGCATGTATGAGAGTACTGGCTAAGCCATAAGTCAAATATGTCATAAAAATTATACTAGTAAGAAATTATCATTCATCTCTTATCATATAATCTCCCCTCCCTTTGGCTAAACTACAGTTCTTATGGTGAAGAAGCTCATTATGCTCCCAAGAAGAATGATCATGATCATAATAATAATGTAATATCACAGAATTTATTTATGTTTTGCATGTAAATTCATCCCTCTGAGATTGTAGTTTCTGTGTAAGACTGGATAAGCCATAAGTCAAATATAGAGTATAAAAATAAAAATTACATTATTAAGAAAATACCATTTGTCTCTTATCATATAGTTGTCCCACCCTCAGGATAAACTACAATTCTTTTCTTGAAGAAACTCACTATGCTCCTAAGAATAAGAATGATTGATGTCATAATAATTATGTAACCCGGCACATTTTTCCCATTACATCGAAATGTAGAGTTTAGACTAAAAAGTAGAGGAAATTGTATTGAGTCTATTGACTAAAATGAAGGATTACACAACAAATATTCCAGTGACCTCTAATCAGCCCAGAGCCTATGGTTACTTCAGACACAGAGAGTGCTCTATACATTATCTGCCAAGCAGAAACTGCTTCAAAACAAACTAATACAATATTGCCCACCCACTATCCCCATTCTCTCCATACATTTCCCTCTGCATGCTAAACACACAATCTCCAATTGTAACTAGCACATTTCATCTATTTGGGCCAAGGCACTTTTTACTGAGATCCAACATTTATCAAAATTCATCATAATCCCACATTTTTTCCCAGCAAACACATCCCTCAGATTCATTTTTATCATTTCAAACAAAATAATCCATAAATCCAAAACCCTTTAACCAGCCAAATTTAGGATCATCAAGTTCCCCACTGCTCTCACAACATATGCAGGTTTCCTGATCTTTTACAATCCTCCACCTTATAACAGAACTTGAAATATTAAGAAATTAGGATGAAGTCTTCAAGGAAAAATCATTTTAGCTATTGAAGTAATGCAATTTCTTTCTAATTTTGTATGTGCTAGAGGTTTACTGGTTCAGCAGAATCAGCACTCAAGGAAATACTAAGACTTTGTAATTTGGAGAAGATATGGCTTTTGCTATATGTGATTTCTAATAGCAAGTGCAAGATGGTTATAACTTTGCATTAAGTAAAACACAAGAAAAAACTACAGAGCTTCTTCTTGTTCAATAGCAAAATTTTGAAATGCAAAAGGAAGTATGCTCTTAAGGGTAAGATTATATTTCATTAAAAGCTACTTGACTGAGAATCACGAAAGAAGGCTTCCAAGATATGTAGACACTTAAGCACAGAATAGTCAGAATATTCAGGATTATCTCAATGGATAGTATCTGACTGATGAAATCATATCTAGAAGAAACAAGCAAAGATACAGTTACAAAAGGGTTAATGGAACATAGGATTAAGTGGGATATGCAGGATTTGGAATATCCATAAGCAGCCCCACATCCAATTTTTGTGATCAAGACTCAGTTGAAGCATACAATGCAATATATGAGAGCAATAGTGTAATGCAGTCTTCAGACACAAGAAATTTACCAACTGAATGAAAATATAAGCAACAAATTATGATTGTAATGCCATACACACACATATTGAATTATCTTGAGAACAAGAAACAAAATAATTCAGTTAAAAATCATATTTAGACAAATTAAATCATTTATACTAATATTTATTCATGTGACATTCTTCTATGCAGCGTTCCATGGAAGTTAAAGTTGTTTCTGACAACCTGATATTAAACTATTAACTATGACACATTACAAAAACTAACTAATTATTCATGACTCACCTGGCATACATCAACAATTATGGAATCATTACGAGCAATATGATTTGCCCAATACTCATCAGCCACTTCTTCATCAGGTCGGCCATCAGCATCTCGAGACCTTATATATGGTTTGTGCTTTACACGGTTCAAGTCTTCATGGAGACCATCCAGCAGAAATGCTAAAAGCTCCTGTAAAAAAATAATGGAACAAATGTGGTAAGTGGTAACAGACTGCACCATGGAAATTGAAGAGATGGTAAAATTTCCAGTCAACAGGCAAACCTGAGAATCATGTTGATTGTGCCCACTGAACTGAGGTGCAAAGCGAGAAAGCTTTGATTTAAATGGCCGAGGAGCAATGGGTGTTCGCCCAGGTGCCCATAGTTTTCGAAGCAATTCACCAAATGCTAGGGCTAACTCACCCTACATAGTGGAAACTTCCATTTACAACAATACTTTGTAATGATAACAATTATCATATGGTTGACTAAAAATCATGGCCCAACCAAATCAAGTCACTGAAGGAAGGTATAATATTGCACAAAGGCATTCGAGCAATATGAAGACAATTTGATCTTCTTAAGACCCAAGATAATAACTCTTACAAATGGTATAAATCTTAATGGAGACAATTTTTTTCATACAAATGTTACCAAGCCTATGACTACAACTCATATATTCTTTATTTTAAAATGGAACATAAGCCAAGATAATAACTACAATGAATAAAAAGACATTATTTTCTTGTCACTTCCATGATGGGAACGAGGTATTAAAAAGGAATGTCCGAACCCATAGATTAAATTATTAAAACATAGGCTTAATTGCATTTATGGACCCATTTAAGGGGGGCAAATATATCCTTTCCCTCGTGATTTCAATTTGAACAAATAGAGGATAATACTATTCAGATTTAAACCAATCAAAAAGATCAGAAGCGAACTTAAGCCTTGTTAAATATAAGACCTGCCTTCACCCTAAAGCTTAAGCCTTTGAAATAGTTTATTCATGACAGAGTATTAAAGCATTTATGACCAAGTGCTCTAGAGTTGGATCCATATCAACCCCATTCTGCTACATAAATAAGTTGAAATTAAGTATAACTCTATAAGGTAAATGAGCCTATGCATTATTGACACTTGGAACCCAAAGGACTCTTGCCTAAAGGGGCATATTAAGTATCAAACCATTAATTTCACCCTAAACCCTAATATTACACATCATATATTTAATGAATTCTACTAATAAACATTTATCCCTAAACCAAGTTCTTGCTCTACTTCATTATCCCCAACAAAAAATATGGAGAGAAAAGGAAACAAGTTCATGCTTACAGGTTTTTAGATGATACTTACAACCATGCCCAATGGATTTTGCCAATTTATCTCTCTATGATAGTCTTCCCTGAAGTACCTAGCAAATTCTGGTGTATGAACAAGGCACTGAATTGCGCTATTCATGAAACAAGTATTGCCAAGATTCAGCAACCCAGTGAGACCACCAAATGAACCTCTTGTGGTGACACCACTGCTTCCATATGGGTTTTCCACATCTCTGACCGGAGAATTTAGGTTCTGAGATGAAGAAGGCTCCATGTTGTAGCCTCTAGATGCACCCTTGCTACTGCTAGCAGACAAGCCACCAGCAATTGATAAGCTAGATTTGGAAGGCTCCACAAGAACAGAACTTGCTTCCTTCTGTGCAGACCCATTTTCTTGAGCAGAACTTGTGTTATTTGTATTGCTGATGACCTCAACAAGAATCTGTATTTATCATTAATCACAAGAAAAACAAGAGCATTAAAAATGTAATGTGTAAGCAATAGAAAAATTCCTACACAAAATTAAATGAAGACTCACATCTTGGTCCATTTGTAAATTAGCATCATCAAGGGTCTTGTCCATGTCATTCATCAAGGCGTGCTTCCGACGGGCATAATAATCCCAAATACACACCTACAATAGAGACAGCTATTTTACTACATGATGAATAAAAAAGAAAAAAAAATTAAAAAATTAGAATTTCAAGAGGGAATTATGAAGGTTTTACTTGGTCTGGCTGGAGATCAAATATTTCGCAAGCTTTTTTGTGAAGCTGTCCAATGGTTTCCTGCCCAAAACATCTCAACTCTAAGGTAAATATAGCATGTATAAACTGAATTATACTTGCAAAAAAATGACAAAAGATATCAAGGATATATTTATCATGACTCATTACTTTCTCTCACATTATACCTTCTTGCTTATTCTTATAGCAGAACGATCATTTTTTGGCAACACAAGTAATTGAAGCCGTAAAGGATACACCTCTACTGTCAATTCAGTTTGGGACAGACCTGAACTAATAACTTTCCTTGCCAACGTAGGTCCACCACCATACCTAGTAGAGAAGGAAAAAAAGAGGTCAGGCAGCTCAATAAAGCCCAGTTAAGGGTTTAGTAATCTATAAGCTTGTATTAATTTGTAGACTTCTTCAAAAACAAAGAAAGTTAGGAAATATTTATGTAAATCATAAATATAATGTGGCAATTTTCACATTTTAGATGAACCATAGATGGTCTGTGTAACAAGTAAACAATCTCACCATCTAAATAATTGATTCCAAACTTCTTGGGGAAGTAATACATAATCACGGCCTTCTAAAAGAGTATCATGAATCTCAATACCCGTGCCAGAGTCCTCCGACACAGCATCATCTATCAAATCAGAATTATCAATGCCAGCTGGCTTCTTTAAAGCACTTGAATTAGCCAAATCACAATGTTCTGATAAGGAAGATCCGTCATATGAAGTGTTTGTCTGGTCTTGGTTCACATATTCAATCCAATGTTGCCACCACCTGCATGAAAATTATCAGAAACAATTTCCTTCTAATCCTGTGCAATTAAATGTGTATGAAGGTTTGCAAGCTAGACCAGGGCATTTATTCTATAGCCTCAAAACAAAGATTAAAAAGTAGGAAGTATGTCTGCACTGTATATCAAGATTAAGCCAGGTTATTGTTACTGAAAAAATTTATTGCTTAGGACTTCTCACCAACACGAAGGGAATACTTTTACACACGGTTCTTTTCCTATTACGTGTGTAATGACCCATTCTACTTTAGAAATGGAGGTTCAAATTTAATTGCTTTTAAAAATTGGGAGGAGAGGCATAACATTGAAGCAGTTTCATATGATTTGGTCCATAGGTCATAAGCGTTTAACGCCAATATTTTTTGTGGAATTGTGAAGTACTTATCCTTTGTGGAGTAAAAGACAAAACAACAGAACAGGGGGCCCTTGAGCACCCTTGGGAAACAAATGCAAAAAACTTAAACAACCAACTGAACTGGATGAAGACATAAACTTTGAAGTTTGAACTAAATCACCCAGACAAAATGCAAGTAAAGGCGACAATGCTCCCAGGGATCTTAAATAAGCCTGCATAATCAGCAGCAAACAACTCCTTTGGACCCTATACATTCTAATTTCATAGTGCATATGCATAACATTCAAGCTCAACAACCCCCAAACAAAAGAACATGCCCCACACCGATTCTGCCATAACAACGAAGCCAACTTGCCCCAAAAAAAAAAAAAAAAACAAAAAAGGATTGAGGGTTATGCGCAGTCATAATCAAAACATCATCAGTATCTATCAGATTAAACCAGTATAAGATTCCATCTAAAATTCATCAACCGTCTCCAAACAAAATAAAAAATAAATATCAAATGAGTTAAATTAAAACCAAAATAGGGGTAAAAAGAAGGATCTGGGCATAAAACTTTGGGAAAATGGAACAAAAGAAGAGAAAAGGTGTGAACTTTGGGTGTGATTAGGAATACCCAGATGGAAAAGTGAGGAATTTGAAGGAAGGAAAAACCTCTGGGTGATCAAGAAGAAGGTGTCGCCTTCTTTGCTGTTAGCTTGGGAAGCAAGAGCAATGTCTCTGATCATGATCCTCTCTTCGTCTGGACTGAGCTCAGAGGAGTTGCTGCTACACAACGACACCTCTGCCATCTTCCTCTCTCTTAATTCAATTTCCCCTCTCTTTTTCTGTTTCAAAAATTAGAGTTTCAGAGCAAAAAGACAAAAACAACGACAACTGCGACTCTCTCTCTTTCTCTTGGAGTAGCTCGCTCCTAGCACCGTCTTTATTCATGATTCATCGCTGCGTTGGTTTAAATTTAGGATTTAAGAAAATATCCATATCAGTCCTCAGTCTTCACCATTTATTTTAAGTTTTAACCATTTATATTAAGAATACTAGCATAAAAGGATGATATTATTAAGAGTTTTTTTTTATTGAGTTTAAGTATTAATAATTTTTTATTAAATGATATTTTTATCATACAAATATTATATGAAATTCTTATATGAAATTTTATGTTAATATTTTTTTATTATTAAAATTATGACTTAAATATCTATTACCCTTTGAATATAATTTTTTTTAGTTTTTATAAAAAAATTATTTTAATTCTTTTAATTGAAAATTTATTGATTTCGATATCTTTCATTGCTTTATAAAAGAAAAAGTGACACATGATATAATTTAAATTAATTACATCATCGAACTTAAATTAATGATTATGAAAAAATATGAATATTAAAATCATAATTTATAAAATAAAAAATAATATATTTTAAGGGGTAAAAAATATATTTATTTTTATTATTATTAAATATTTATTAAATGTTTTAAATTTAACATAAAATTGTCAAATTTAAAATTAATATTTAAGAAGGTTAACTTGTTAAAAAAAATTAGTAATCTTAGTGAGACATGTTAGGTGTACGCGCTTATTTATTAATTTTTTCTAAATAATAGCTTGTGTCATAAATTTAACAATAAAATTAATTACGATAAATTTAAAATAATTTATTTTAAAAAATTATTAATAAGTTATAAAAATTTATTAAAATAACATAAATTATCGATAAGTTCTTTCAAATAAATTCATTGTTTCTTTTTATTTTAATATTTTATATAATAATTATATATCTTCGTTGTATTTGTTTCTTATATAATATGAAAAATGACATTACATGTGTAATTATTTATTTTACTAGAAATTAATTTTTAATAATGAAAAAAATAAAAATTATTAAAATATGATATTTAAGAAAAATTAAAAATATAAGAAATTTTAAAAACTTGTTAATAATAATTTTCAAAAATTATTATTAGCATTTGTTGTACTTTAAATTTTTATCATTATTTTTTGAAAATTCAGCATTGATGAGATTTGAATTTTTCAATTTTTTTTAAATTTTTTGCAAGTTTTCAAATTTTATTGTTTTATTTCTAATTTTTTGTATTTATACTAAAAATTATTATTAGTGAATTTTAAAGTTCATATTTCTATAATTAAAAAAATTAATATATTTTAGTATACATAATTTTTAAATATTATATATAAAAAATAAAACTCTAAAAGTCACGTGTCCTACGTTAATTTATTATTTTTCTTTTTCTCATGTTAATGTGAGCTTTGCTTTCAACAATGGAGTTACATATAAAATTTCACCAACATTTAAAATTCATATAAAAAAATTATTTTGGATATTCACGTGTATGCCACCCAAAAATAACTTACATAAGTAGTTTCAAATTCATGCAATTCAATTAAATAGAACATTTTAAGTTCACTTTTGACTTTAATTAGGGATTTGTTTTTTTATTTATTTTTTCTTTTTACATCCTTATTAAAAAAAAAAATTGTAACTTTATTCTCTAAAAGATCCTTTATGTACAATATCCAACTTACATAAGTAGTTTCAAATTCATGAAATTAAATTAAATAGAACATTTTAAGTTCACTTTTGACTTTAATTAGGGAGTTTATTTTTTTTTTTTTTTACATCCTTATTTTAAAAAAATGTAACTTTTTTCACTAAAATACCCTTTATGTAAAATCTCAATTTTGAAATTTTATTTCTAGAAATAATTAATAATTTTAAAAATTAGTTTTAGAAGTGTAAAATTTTAAATCTAAAAACTTATTTTTGGAGGTGTAGAATTCTAATTTTAAAAACTCATTATTAGAAGTGGTTAATAATTCCAGAAATTAATTATCAAAAGTGTAAAAATTGAATTTTGGAAATTAAATTTTAAAATTATAGAATTCTAATTTTAAAAACTTATTTTAGAAATGGTTAATAATTCTGAAAATTAATTTCTAAAAATGTATAATTATAATTTTGAAAAATAATTTGGAAATGGTTAATAATTTAAAAAAAAAATTAGAAGTATAAAACTTTACTTCTAAAAATTATTTTCTGAAAGTGTAGAATCCTAATTTTGAAAACTTATTTTTGCCGATGATTAATAATTTTATAAATTAATTTTTGAAAGTGCAAAAATTTAATGTCAAAAATTAATTTTTAAAAGTGTAGAATTCTAATTTTGAAACTCGTTAATAATTCTAAAAATTAATTTATGAGAGTGTAAAATATTAATTCTAAAAACTTTTTTTTAAGTGTACTTGCATTGATAGGTTGACGATCCTATTTTTTTTATGATAAATTTATTTTTTATAGTATTTTCAAAATAATTAAAGTGCTTGGAAACTAATGATACTTAAAATAAGCTCAAGAAGTTGGTAATAAAGGAACAACGAAGAAGGAAAAATGAAATAGTGGTAAAAAATAAAAAATGAAGTTCCAAGAGAGAAAAATTATTCCAAAATTTAAAATAAAAATAAATAATTAAGGTTATTGTTAAAGATATTTTAATAAAAAATTACATAAAAATTAATAAAATGTAAAAAAAAAAATAGACTGTAAAAAATTATTTCCCTTAAATTAAAGCTAATGTAGATGGCTTAACCCCACTAAATTATAAAACTTAAACTCTAAATTTTAAGTTCAAATTAAGTTAAGACTTTTTTTTTAGTCCAACTCATGTGAAAGATTTTAATTAAGTTTGAAGTAATATTCAGTAAGCAAGAATATCTGTGTCAAAAAGTAATAAAAGGTTATTAAATTAAGTTTTCGAAATATCGTTCTATAAGGATTATTTTTCAATTACTAAAAAGTTCTTAATTTAATTGTTTAAGCTTAAAGAATATGAAATGAATTTAAATATAAAATCAATTATAAACTCATAACAATGTATATCTTAGTTGAACTTATCGAAGAAGAACCTAGTGTAATACCCTAAATTTCCTTCACTCTATAAATGATTGTCGAATTACATAAACCTGATTGAATAAAATATAAGTAGAATATAGAGACTCTAGAACTAAAACTTTCTTTAACAAAATTTACAGAAATAAGTCTGATTTGTAAGGAATCGAGTAATATAAAAAGAAAATAAATATATAATTTTTTTAGACTATCTATAATAGTTTTATATGATTTATAAGAGGGTTAAAAAGATTCAGGAATGGAAAATAAACAAAATTGTAAAATTTGATCAAAATGACCAAACTATCCCTAAAAACACCTAGAATGGAGGCCCTTTTTAGGCAAGCAAATGAATGAGATAAATTCTGAAATTTTTATGGTAAGTTATTGGACCAAATAGAGTTATGTACATTCAAGAAGCAAGCCAAAAATCCAAGTACAAAATTCAAACCAAAATCCTCAAAAATAGTCCACATATCTGTGGAAAATGACCTATTATGTGCCAAAAACTTGCAAAATTTGTAACCTATCCAACCCAATTCAATTTGCACATTTTATTGGCTTGAAAGAGAAGCCAATTGACCAGTAAATTAAGCATGGAAGAAGCTGGAAGGAAGTAGCCAATAAGAAAGAAAGGCAAGTCAAGCAAGTCAAGGTTTCATGATTAAGATTTTGAATAAGTGCAAGACTCAATTTCCATCCAATTTTGAACTTAGGAACGGTGACTATCCAGCCAAATGGGACTAGAAGATACACTCTAAAGCAACTAAAATAATTAGAAAGAAACCAAGAGGATTTGAGTACAATTGGATAAGGAATCTAAGGACAAGAGTCATGATGGAGGACAATTTTGGCATTAGGAAAGATGGCCATGTGTAGGCTTATGAGAGAAGCTTCAATTGGACCCCAAATTAAATCTCCACACTTGCTACAAGAGGGAATAACCGTGAGGGGCCAAGGGAGAGAGAGAGAGAAATAAGCCAAATGTTTTTATAAAGTCCTTGCATAGAAAGAAGACTACTTTCATATAAGAATGGAGCAACCATGCAAGGGAGAGAGAGTTTCCAAACTTAACAATCTTCAGCAACCTTCAAACACTTTTACAATCATTCCCACACTTATCACTTGAACTCCACCAAGTTGAATCATCCATCAACTTACCATAAAAATCCTAAATTAGACAATAAACCCCACAAAATCCACAGAGCAATCAACTTTCTTGATGGAAGCCTTGATCACGTGGAAGAGGAGACCAAAGGAGGTGGAAGATCAATTTCAAAAGGAGTAAAAAATTAAGAGAAGGAGAGAAAGAGGACTTCCCAAAGATCAAGCCAAGAATCAACAAAAAAAATCAAGTAAGGGGAGTACTATTTCATAAATTAAGGGAATACTTTGCTAAATGAACTTTTAAGTCAAAGGGGAGCCTTTAACCCTTTTGTATGATGAAAATTTCGTGGTTTTGGTATACATGTGAAAGAAAAATTAATTGTAAAAAGAATACACAAGAAAACCACTAAAATAGCAAAAACGTAAAGTTTTGCAGAAAAACCAAAATTAATTGTAAAATAATATTTTAATGGACTTTAGTTAATGAATTTGTTTGATATGTGTTATTTACATGAATATATGATATATTCATGTGGATTTATGCTTTGGAATTGATTAGATGGACTTTGGAAATTTTCTACGAAATTGCATATTTTCTGTTATGGATAAATATGGGTTTTCTATAAAATTTGTTTCTAAGGGTGTATTCTGAAAATTTTCTCTTTGATCTATGTTTTGTGATTTTATTTAAGGATAATTAAGTAAGATATATGATTTTCTCTGTGGTTTGGATTATATTGGAGTTAAAAAGTATTTTTGGGACATTATTGAAAATTTTCATATAAAACTTTAATAAGAAATGGACTAAAATTAGAAAATGACTATGAGGAGGACCTATGAAACCTTGAACATATTTGGAACCTCTGAAATATATGAGAAATATGATGAAAATAATTATCTAAGATTATATTTGAAAGATTGAACCTTAACATGATGATGAACTATCATTTTGGACTAAAATATACCTTGAAAGTGCAAGACACTTGACCACA